CTTTGCACCGACACTTCCCTGCCGCCGTTCTACATCCTCGTGTACGTCGACGACTTGGTCTTTGCCACAGCGGACACTGCTGGACTCGCCTACGTGAAGTCCGAGCTGTTGAAGAGACACACGTGCACAGACCTGGGTGAACTGCGCAGCTACCTTGGCTTGCAGATCACTCGGGACAGAGCACGCCGCACCATTACCTTGACTCAGTCACACATGGTGCAGCAGGTCCTTCAGCGCTTCGGCTTCACGTACTCCTCGCCTCAGGCCACTCCTCTGCCTACTCGCCACTCACTCTGAGCTCTGCCTTCGGATGAGTCCGTAGAGTCGAGTGGCCCGTACCCAGAGCTTGTTGGCTGCCTCATGTACCTGATGACCTGCACACGACCTGACCTTGCATACCCTCTGAGCATTCTTGCACGCTATGTTGCTCCTGGGAGACACAGACCGGAGCACATGGCTGCAGCGAAGAGGGTATTGCGCTACCTGTGCAGTACGTCGGACATGGGGCTAGTGCTTGGAGGGCGGAGTCCAGTGGTCCTTACCGGCCACGCGGACGCTTCTTGGGCAGACGACCAGGCTACGCAGCGGTCGTCACAGGGTTACACCTTCAGCCTTGGTTCCGGCTCTGTCTCGTGGCGGTCTACTCGCTCGTCTTCGGTTCTCGGCTCCAGTTGTGAGGCTGAGATCTACGCCGGGGCCATGGCTGCTCAGGAGCTTCGCTGGCTCACCTACCTGCTGACTGACCTTGGAGAGCCGCCTCGTTCTCCTCCAGTGCTGTACGTAGACAACAAGGCCATGCTGGCCTTGTGTCGAGAGCAGCGCTTGGAGCACAGAACGAAGCACATTGCTCTCCGCTACTTCCTTGCTCGTGAGCTGCAGCAGCGTGGTCAGTTGCGACTTGCGTACGTGGCCTCTGAGGCCAACACTGCTGATGTGTTCACCAAGGCACTTGCGCCTTGTGACCATCAGCGCTTTTGTACCCAGATGGGTCTTGTGCCTGTCTTGCCTCACTTGCTCTCTTCTTGACTTTACTTGTACTGTGATATATATATACCTGCTCTTGCTTGTCTTGCTTTATATATATATGTCTGTACTCTTGCATGTGAACTGGCCTTTGGCCTTGCTCTTGTGCTCGGACTGTGTGGTGACTTTGTGATCCACCCTGAGCTTTGTTTGTTTTGCTTGACTGGTCTTGTGACCCCTTGTTCTCCCCCACTTTGCCTATGGGGGTGTGTTAGAACATATATACAGCTTATACTGTTGTGTAGGCTGTAGTGGGGTATCCTGTAGGGGGTACAACCAGTTAGGGTTTGATACTTGTACTGATTTCATTTCATAGTCATTCATTCCTGTTTTCATTGCTTCACAGCTAGGCCCTTGTTCTTGCAATTTTGCACACGCTAGGCCCTTGTTATTTTTATTTTGCACACGCTAGGCCCTTGTTCTTTTTATTTTGCACACGCTAGGCCCTTGTTCTTGCAATTTCGCGAACGCTAGGCCCTTGTTCTTGATTTTTTGCACACGCTAGGCCCTTGCTCTTGCTATTTTGCACTCGCTAGGCCCTTGTTCTTGCAATTTTGCACACGCTTGGCCCTTGTTCTTGCAATTTTGCACACGCTAGGCCCTTGTTCTTTTTATTTTGCACACGCTATGCCCTTGTTCTTTTTATTTTGCACACACTATGCCCTTGTTCTTGCAATTTTGCACATGCTAGGCCCTTGTTCTTGCAATTTTGCACATGCTAGACCCTTGTTTTTTTTATTTTGCACACGCTAGGCCCTAGTTCTTGCTATTTCGCGAACGCTAGGCTCTTGTTCTTGATTTTTTGCACACACTAGGCCCTTGCTCTTGCTATTTTGCACTCGCTAGGCCCTTGTTCTTGCAATTTTGCACACGTTAGGCCCTTGTTCTTGCAATTTTGCACACGCTAGGCCCTTGTTCTTTTTATTTTGCACACGCTAGGCCCTTGTTCTTTTTATTTTGCACACGCTAGGCCCTTGTTCTTGCTATTTTGCATACGCTATGCACTTGTTCTTTTTATTTTGCACACGCTAGGCCCTTGCTCTTGCTATTTTGCACATGCTAGACCCTTGTTGTTTTTATTTTGCACACGCTAGGCCCTTGCTCTTTTTAATTTGCACTCGCTATTCCCTTGTTCTTGCTATTTTGCACACGCTATGCCCTTGTTGTTTTTGTTTTGCACACGCTAGGCCCTTGCTCTTGCTATTTTGCACACGCTATGCCCTTGTTCTTTTTATTTCGCACACGCTAGGCCCTTGCTCTTGCTATTTCGCGAACGCTATGCCCTTGTTCTTGATTTTTTGCGCACGCTAGGCCCTTGCTCTTCCTATTTTGCACTCGCTAGGCCCTTGTTCTTGCAATTTTGCACACGCTAGGCCCTTGTTCTTGCATTTTTGCACATGCTAGACCCTTGTTCTTTTTATTTTGCACACGCTAGGCCCTTGCTCTTGCTATTTCGCGAACGCTAGGCCCTTGTTCTTGATTTTTTGCACACGCTAGGACCTTGCTCTTGCAATTTTGCACTCGCTAGGCCCTTGTTCTTGCAATTTTGCACACGCTAGGCCCTTGTTCTTGCAATTTTGCACACGCTAGGCCCTTGTTCTTTTTATTTTGCACACACTAGGCCCTTGTTCTTTTGTTTTTGCACACGCTATGCCCTTGTTCTTTTTATTTTGCACACGCTAGGCCCTTGTTCTTGCAATTTTGTACATGCTAGACCCTTGTTCATTTTATTTTGCACACGCTAGGCCCTCGTTCTTGCTATTTCGCGAACGCTAGGCCCTTTTTCTTGTTTTTTTGCACACGCTAGGCCCTTGCTCTTGCTATTTTGCACTCGCTAAGCCCTTGTTCTTGCAATTTTGCACATGCAAGGCCCTTGTTCTTGCAATTTTGCAAACGCTAGGCCCTTGTTCTTTTTATTTTGCACACGCTAGGCCCTTGTTCTTTTTATTTTGCACACGCTAGGCCCTTGTTCTTGCTATTTTGCACACGCTATGCCCTTGTTCTTTTTATTTTGCACACGCTAGGCCCTTGTTCTTGCATTTTTGCACATGCTAGATCCTTGTTCTTTTCATTTTGCACACGCTAGGACCTTGTTCTTGCAATTTCGCGAACGCTAGGCCCTTGTTCTTGATTTTTTGCACACGCTAGGCCCTTGCTCTTGCTATTTTGCACTCGCTAGGCCTTTGTTCTTGCAATTTTGCACACGCTAGGCCCTTGTTCTTGCAATTTTGCACACGCTAGGCCCTTGTTATTTTTATTTTGCACACGCTAGGCCCTTGTTCTTTTTATTTTGCACACGCTATGCCCTTGTTCATTTTATTTTGCACAAGCTATGCCCTTGTTCTTTTTATTTTGCACATGCTAGGCCTTTGTTATTGCAATTTTGCACATGCTAGACCCTTATTCTTTTTTTTTTGCACACGCTAGACCCTTGTTCTTGCTATTTCGCGAACGCTAGGCCCTTGTTCTTTATTTTTTGCACACGCTAGGCCCTTGCTCTTGCTATTTTGCACTCGCTAGGCCCTTGTTCTTGCAATTTTGCACACGTTAGGCCCTTGTTCTTGCAATTTTGCACACGCTAGGCCCTTGTTCTTTTTATTTTGCACACGCTAGGCCCTCGTTCTTTTTATTTTGCACACGCTAGGCCTTTGTTCTTGCTATTTTGCACACACTATGCCCTTGTTCTTTTTATTTTGCACATGCTAGGCCCTTGCTCTTGCTATGTTGCACTCGCTAGGCCCTTGTTCTTGCAATTTTGCACACGCTAGGCCCTTGTTCTTGCAATCTTGCACATGCTAGGCCCTTGTTCTTGCTATTTTGCACACGCTAGGCCCTTGTTCTTTTTATTTTGCACACGCTAGGCCCTTGTTCTTGCTATTTTGCACTCGCTATGACCTTGTTCTTTTTATTTTGCACACGCTAAGCCCTTGTTCTTGCAAATCTGCACATCCTAGACCCTTGTTTTTTTTGTTTTTTGCACACGCTAGGCCCTTGTTCTTGCAGCTTCGCGAACGCTAGGCCCGTGTTCTTGATTTTTTGCACACGCTAGGCCCTTGCTCTTGCTATTTTGCACTCGCTACGCCCTTGTTCTTGCAATTTTGCACACGCTAGGCCCTTGTTCTTGCAATTTTGCACATGCTAGGCCCTTGTTCTGTTTATTTTGCACACGCTAGGCCCTTGTTCTTTTTATTTTGCACACGCTATGCCCTTGTTCTTTTTATTTTTCACACGCTATGCCCTTGTTCTTTTGATTTTGCACATGCTAGGCCCTTGTTCTTGCAATTTTGCCCATGCTAGGCCCTTGTTCTTTTTATTTTGCACACGCTAGGCCCTTGTTCTTGCTATTTCGCGAACGCTAGGCCCTTGTTCTTGATTTTTTGCACATGCTAGGCCATTGCTCTTGCTATTTTGCACTCGCTAGGCCCTTGTTCTTGCAATTTTGCACACGTTAGGCCCTTGTTCTTGCAATTTTGCACACGCTAGGCCCTTGTTCTTGATTTTTTGCACACGCTAGGCCCTTGCTCTTGCTATTTTGCACTCGCTAGGCCCTTGTTCTTGCAATCTTGCACACGCTAGGCCCTTGTTCTTGCAATTTTGCACACGCTAGGCCCTTGTTCTTTTTATTTTGCACACGCTATGTGATAATAAGCAAAGAGGAATGAAATGACTAAGTCAGGGTTGGGTACAAATACAACCCTAGAAAGCTGTATCCCATATGTGCTACCCCACTATAGCCTACAAACATGCATCAGCTATAGTAATTCGACACACCCCCATAGGCAAAGTGGGGGAGAACAAGGGGTCACAAGACCAGTCAAGCAAAGCAAAGCAAAGCAAGCTCAGGGTGGATCACAAAGTCACCACACAGTCCGAGCATTAGAGTAGGGCCAGAGGCCAGTTCACAAGCAAGAGTACAGACATATATAGAATACTAGACAAGCAAGAGCAGGTATATATATGTCACAGTACAAGTAAAGTCAAGAGAAGAGCAAGTAAGGCAAGACAGGCACAAGACCCAGCTGGGTGCAGAAGCGCTGATGGTCACAAGGCGCGAGTGCCTTGGTGAACACATCAGCAGTGTTGGCCTCAGAGGCCACGTACGCAAGTCGCAACTGACCACGCTGCTGCAGCTCACGAGCAAGGAAGTAGCGGAGAGCAATGTGCTTCGTTCTGTGCTCCAAGCGCTGCTCTCGACACAAGGCCAGCATGGCCTTGTTGTCTACGTACAGCACTGGAGGAGAACGAGGCGGCTCTCCAAGGTCAGTCAGCAGGTAGGTGAGCCAGCGAAGCTCCTGTGCAGCCATGGCCCCGGCGTAGATCTCAGCCTCACAACTGGAGCTGAGAACCGAAGACGAACGAGTAGACCGCCACGAGACAGAGCCGGAACCAAGACTGAAGGTGTAACCCTGTGACGACCGCTGCGTAGCCTGGTCGTCAGCCCAAGAAGCGTCCGCGTGGCCTGTAAGGACCACTGGACTCCGCCCTCCAAGCACTAGCCCCATGCCCGACGTACTGCACAGGTAGCGCAATACCCTCTTCGCTGCAGCCATGTGCTCTGGTCGGTGTCTCCCAGGAGCAACATAGCGTGCAAGAATGCTCAGAGGGTATGCAAGGTCAGGTCGAGTGCAGGTCATCAGGTACATGAGGCAGCCAACAAGCTCTGGGTACGGGCCACTCGACTCTACGGACTCATCCGAAGGCAGAGCTGAGAGCGAGTGGCGAGTAGACAGAGGAGTGGCCTGAGGCGAGGAGTACGTGAAGCCGAAGCGCTGAAGGACCTGCTGCACCATGTGTGACTGAGTCAAGGTGATGGTGCGGCGTGCTCTGTCCCGAGTGATCTGCAAGCCAAGGTAGCTGCGCAGTTCACCCAGGTCTGTGCACGTGTGTCTCTTCAGCAGCTCGGACTTCACGTAGGCGAGTCCAGCAGTGTCCGCTGTGGCAAAGACCAAGTCGTCGACGTACACGAGGATGTAGAACGGCGGCAGTGAAGTGTCGGTGCGCAGAAACAGCGACGGGTCAGCAGTAGACGGAGCAAACCCAAGAGCCGCAAGCGTAGTCCTCAGTGTGTCGTGCCACTCACGCGGTGCCTGGCGGAGACCGTAGACTGGCCGTCGGAGGCTCCACTGGGTGCCAAGAGGGAAAGTCCCAGTGAAGCCAGGTGGACGGCGCAGCCAGATCTCCTCGTGCAGGCTACCCTGCAGGAACGCAGTGTTGAAGTCGAGAGAGTGAAGCTCGTAGTCGCGCTGAGCGGCTATGTGCAGCAGCACCCGAAGAGTGGTCATCTTCGGGGTGGGAGAGAAGGTCTGAAAGTAGTCAACTCCCTGCCGCTGACTGAAGCCACGAGCAACGTACCGCGCCTTGAAGACAGATGGAGAGCCCGGCGGCCGCTTCACCCGGAAGATCCACATGCCACTGACGATGTTCGCCCCAGGAGGGGGAACTGCGTCAACGTAGGTGCCTGTGGACTTCCAGGAAGCCATCTCTGCATCCATAGCTGCCTGCCACTGAGAGGAGTAGGGACCCTCTACGGCCTCCGCGTAAGAGCGCGGAGTCGGGATGTCTAGTGCATCCGGGTCTCCCTCAGGAGCAAGCACTACAGACGCGAGATGAGGTGGAGCAGCAGCCAGACACTGTAACTCCTCCTGCCTGTCCTCTAGGACGTCCGTGCCAAGAGCATACTCACCCCCGACGGACGGAGGACAGACAGACGCAGACTCAGCAACAACACTAGCAGCGTAGTCTAGACGACAGCGAGCAGCAAAGTCGACGAGCTCAGCGACAAGAGCAGACGCAGCAGTGGACTCAAAATAGGGGTCAGCGACGACAGTAGCAAGCAGACGCATGACAGTAGGACTGGCAGCACGAAGAGAGTCCGACTCAGGGTCGGCAAGCGCAGGAAAAGAGGACTCAGGAGGAGAAGGCAAAGGGGCACGCAGAGGAGCATTGGACGGACGCAGAGACATCCGGTGCGTGCCAGGGACAGGAGGAGGACGCTGACGCGAACCGCGACCACTAGCGCGAGCAGCACGAACAGGCGACGCGGGACGAGACGCAGGCTCACGACGCTCAGCAAGACCTCCAGTAGGACCAGTGTAAGGAGAGGGAGCAGGCAGAGGAGAGGAAGGCTCCAACAGTGACTGCGACTGGACAGGCTGTGGACACTCTACCGAAGGAGAAAGACCAAGAACCTGCTGTAGGAGCGGAACGAAGTACGGCCGAGGCCGCGCGGCAGCTCCAGACTCAGCAGGGACAGCACCAGCACCCTCAGCGACAGCACCAGCGCCACCAACACCTCCAGAGGCAGGACCTCCAGCAGCACCAGCAGCAGAACCACCGCCAAGACAGCCAGCAGTAGTCTCAGCACCAACACCCTCAGCAGCTCCAGCTCCAGTAGGACCCGCAGGCCCAGCAGCTCCGGGACCGGCAGCACCAGCACCCTCGACGGTCGACGAAGCTCCAGCTCCAGTAGCACTCCTCCAGCGGCGAGCAAACCACTCGCGCAGCTCCTGTGGAGAGAGGGGCTCCCGGCGAGACGCAGCAGCAGGAGAAACCCCAGGCTCAGCAGCTCCAAACTCAGCACCCCCAAGCACAGCAGCTCCAGACGTAGCACCCACAGGCTCAGCAGCTCCAGACTCAGCACCTCTAGGCTCAGCAGCTCCTGACGTAGCACCCTCCGGCTCAGCACCCCCCGGCTCAGCACCCCCAGACTCAGCACCCCCCGGCCTCGCACCCCCAGGCTCAGCACCCCCAGCAGCAGCACCCCCAGGCTCAGCACCCGCAGCAGGACCAGACTCAGCAGCAACCTCGACTGGCCCGACCGTGTCTACCTGGGACACACCTGAAGGGGCAGGAACCTGAGGGGGGAGGGGCCTACCGGGGGGGGAACTGGTACCATCAAGTCCGGTGGGGGGGGGAGGGAAGGAGTACGGTAGGGGAAGAGGCGGTAGAAGGGGACTGACTCATCGAACGTGACGTCCTGGGAGGACAGAACACGACGAGAGGAGGGGTGGTAGAACTGCCACCCTGGAGCGTCAGGGGGGAAGCCAAGGAAGACACAGGGAGCAGCACGGGGGGACAGCTTGTCCGCAGACAAGTCGCGGACAAACGCCCGAGATCCCCAGACACGGAACGCAGACGCATCGCCGACCTTCCCCGTCCACAGTAACACTGGGGACATCGCGGGCCGAGAGACCCTGGGGTGAAGGTTGAGCTGTTGCGCCGCGTACCGAACCGCAAACGGCCACAGAAAGTGGGGGGCAGCCGCATGCATCATGGACGTATGAGCGACATCCATGACCATGCCAATGCGGCGCTCAGCAATCCCGTTTTGCTGTGGAGAGTCCGGAAGCGTAAAGGTCTGGCGGATCCCCTGTGCACGACAGTAGTCTCGCAGAAGGCGAGAGGAGAGCTCCCCACCTCGGTCAGAGTACAGACGCAGAACAGGAAAGTCCGAGCCGAAGCTCCTCCTGAGCTGGAGACGAGCCTCGCGGATCCAGTCGATCAGCACCTCAGTGACAGCACCCTTGCTGCGCAAGGGGAAGACTGAGGTGTAACGCGAGTAGTCGTCAACCACCAACAGGAAGTAGCGCTCGTGACCCTGCCCACGGACGGGGGCCGGGCCCCACACGTCCATGTGAAGCGTCTACAGAGGAGCCTCTGTCGGGGGAAACTGGGAGGAGTGAGGAGCAGCCCTGAGGCGCCCCTCGACACAGGGGACACAGGAAGGTCCTGGTCCCGAAGGAAGGGGAGGGAGAGACTGGGGAAGACCAGAGACAAGGACACGGGAAGCCATGCCCCGAAGACGGGGCAAGGAGGGGTGGCCTAGACGGTGGTGCCACAGAAGAGTCTCGTGAGACAGGAGGCGACACGAACAGGGGGCAGACTCAGGACCAGACCTGTACGCAGCAGCAAACACCTGACCCGACCCTGCTACCTGACCGGACGCGGGGACAGGAGGAGACTCAGTGGTCAGGGTGTAGAGGCTCGACCCCGGCCGACGCGAGAACGTGGCCAGGTGCCGGCCTGTGCGTGCGTCCGTGCAGTGTGTCACCCGCTGACTCGCAGGAGTGAACTGGTGAACCCCCGCATCCTGTAGGTCTGCACCACTCACAGGCCAGACAGGGTGCCCGAGGGGGCAGCCGGACACGGGAGGACAGTGGAAAAGTGAGCGAGGACAGGACCCCCAGAGGGGTCAGCCAGGGAGACAGCAACCGGCCGACCAAGCGGCGTGAGTGTGGTGCGGTCCCGAAAGAAGGAGCGAGAAGCCCCAGAGTCAAGTGTAAAGGTGAGGGAGGCCGAAGCCAACGCGGTACCTGAGAGCGCAGCCTCACCCGCACCTGAGGAAGCAGACTCACTAGCACCTAGAGCAGCAGCCGCACCTGTACCTGGAGCAGGAGACTCACTAGCACCCAGAGCAGCAGCCTCACCAGTAGCTAGAGCAGCAGGTCCTATACCTGGGTCAGGCGGGACACACAGGTGACCGGCACGGTCAGCACTAGTAGGTAATGCATACATGGCAGTGAGAATAGCATCATAGTCAAGAGCATATATATCGACCCTCTGCCTAAGCAACTCCACCCAGTCGGGAAGCCCAGCCTCGTTGCCAAACACGGTACGCCAGGCGTCGCTCAGACGGGCGAAGCAGCGGGACTGTGTATGACTACGTGTCCCACAAGGCTGACAAGTCCGAGTACCAGTGCGAATCACGTAAGAGCAGCGAACAGCACTGAGAGACCCTCCACTATGAGCGTACCACTCACGAAGCTGGCGAGGCGTGAGAGACACGCGAGAGGGTCGCGGGAGCTGCATCTGGCCGCCACCACGAGTAGAAGCAGCAGGAGTGGTAGTAGGAGTAGCGCCGCCACCCCTACAGCCCCAACCAGCGTACCACTCACGCAGCTGCTGGGGCGTGAGGGACTCACGCAGGCGTCGCTGGGGCTGCATCTGGCTCCGCAAGTAGAAGCAGGAGCAGGACTAGCAGCAGGAAGGCAGGCAGCCAGGCAAGCCAAAAGGCAGGCAGGCAGGCAAACAGGCGACGCGCAGCGTGCTAGCAGGGCAAGAGCTCACCAGTGGTGGGAAGAGTAGGCTCGGCGACTCAACGGCTCGGCAGCTCGGCGGCTCGGGCGACTCGGGCGGCTCGGCGGCAAGGCGGCTCGACAGCAACTGCAGCTCAGCAGCTCGGTGACTCGGCGGCTCGGCGGCAGGGCGGCTCGGCAGCAACTGCAGCTCAGCAGCTCAGCGACCCGGCGGCTCGGCGGCAGGGCGGCTCGGCTGCTGGGCGGCTCGGGTGCAGGGCGGCTCGGCGGTGGGGCGGCTCGGCTACTGCAGGTGAGCGGCTCGGCTGCTGCAGTGGGAGATGAAGGAGGAGGAGAAGCAGGGGAGGCCACACACCTGCCCCCCTCAGGTCGCCTCGACAGGCGACGGGAAAAGGGGGGGGGGGGGTGGTGGGGGCCGGTAGGTGCAGCGGCGGGGCCAGCAGGTGCAGTTGTGGGGCCGGTAGAAGGGGACGGCAGGAGCCGTCAGGAGGGGACGGCGGGGCCGTCAGGAAGGGACGGCGGGGCCGTCACGAAGGGACGGCGGGGCCGTCAGGAGGCGACCGGGCCGCGAAGGGGCGGTTGGGCCGGGATGGGGCGGGGCCGCGACGGAGGCAGGCGGCGGGGCCGCGTAAGGGCCTGGGCGGGGCCGCGACAGAGCCGTCAGCGGGGCCGCGTGAAAGCCGGGGCGGGGCCGCGTAGAAGCCGGGGCGGGGCCGCGCGAGAGCAGGCGGCGGGGCCGCGAAGGAGCCGGGGCGGGACCGCGTGAGAGCAGGCGGCGGGGCCGAGTAAGGGCCTGGGCGGGGCCGCGACAAAGCCGTCGGCGGGGCCGCGTGAAAGTCGGGGCGGGGCCGCGTAGAAGCCGGGGCGGGGCCGCGCGAGAGCAGGCGGCGGGGTCGCGAAGGAGCCGGGGCGGGGCCGCGTGAGAGCAGGCGGCGGGGCCGCGTAAAGGCCGGGGCGGGGCCGCGACAGAGCCGGCGGCGGGGCCGCGTGAAAGCCGGCGACGCGGCCGCGTAAGGGCCGGCGGCGGGGCCGCGTCAGTGAAGGCGGCGGGGCCGCAGGGGAAATGGCGACCCGAGGGGTCGCTAAAAAAAATCGCGCCTCGGGGGGCGCTTCGGTGGGCCCAAAAAAAACGGTCCTTAGAAGGACCCGCTCTATACCATGTGATAATAAGCAAAGAGGAATGAAATGACTAAGTCAGGGTTGGGTACAAATACAACCCTAGAAAGCTGTACCCCATATGTGCTACCCCACTATAGCCTACAAACATGCATCAGCCATAGTAATCTGACACGCTATGCTCTTGTTCTTTGTATTTTGCACACGCTAGGCCCTTGTTCTTGCAATCTTGCACATGCTAGACCCTTGTTCTTTTTATTTTGCACACGCTAGGCCCTTTTTCTTGCTATTTCGCGAACACAAGGCCCTTGTTCTTGTTTTTTTGCACACGCTAGGCCCTTGCTCCTGCTATTTTGCACTCGATAGGCCCTTGTTCTTGCAATTTTGCACACGCTAGGCCCTTGTTCTTGCAATTTTGCACACGCTAGGCCCTTGTTTTTTTTTTTTTTTGCACACGCTAGGCCCTTGTTCTTATATTTTGCACATGCTAGGCCCTTGTTCTTGCTATTTTGCACACGCTATGCCCTTGTTCTTTTTATTTTGCACACGCTAGGCCCTTGTTCTTGCAATTTTGCACATGCTAGACCGTTGTTCTTTTTATTTTGCACACGTGAGGCCCTTGTTCTTGCTATTTCGCGAACGCTAGGCCCTTGTTCTTGATTTTTTGCACACGCTAGGCCCTTGCTCTTGCTATTTTGCACTCGCTAGGCCCTTGTTCTTGCAATTCTGCACACGCTAGGCCCTTGTTCTTGCAATTTTGCACACGCTAGGCCCTTGTTCTTGCTATTTTGCACACGCTAGGCCCTTGTTCTTTTTATTTTGCACACGCTAGGCCCTTGTTCTTGCTATTTTGCACACGCTATGCCCTTGTTCTTTTTATTTTGCACAGGCTAGGCCCTTGTTCTTGCAATTTTGCACATGCTAGACCCTTGTTCTTTTTATTTTGCACACGCTAGGCCCTTGCTCTTGCAATTTTGCACACGCTAGGCCCTTGTTCTTTTTATTTTGCACACGCTAGGCCCTTGTTCCTTTTATTTTGCACACGCTATGCCCTTGTTCTTTTTATTTTGCACACGCTATGCCCTTGTTCTTTTTATTTTGCACATGCTAGGCCCTTGTTCTTGCAATTTTGCACATGCTAGACCCTTGTTCTTTTTATTTTGCACACGCTAGGCCCTTGTTCTTGCTATTTCGCGAACGCTAGGCTCTTGTTCTTGATTTTTTGCACACACTAGGCCCTTTCTCTTGCTATTTTGCACTCGCTAGGCCCTTGTTCTTGCAATTTTGCACCTGTTAGGCCCTTGTTCTTGCAATTTTGCACATGCTAGGCCCTTGTTCTTTTTATTTTGCACACGCTAGGCTCTTGTTCTTTTTATTTTGCACACGCTAGGCCCTTGTTCTTGCTATTTTGCACACGCTATGCCCTTGTTCTTTTTATTTTGCACACGCTAGGCCCTTGCTCTTGCTATTTTGCACATGCTAGACCCTTGTTCTTTTTATTTTGCACACGCTAGGCCCTTGTTCTTTTTAATTTGCACACGCTAGGCCCTTGTTCTTGCTATTTTGCACACGCTATGCCCTTGTTGTTTTTGTTTTGCACACGCTAGGCCCTTACTCTTGCTATTTTGCACACGCTATGCCCTTGTTCTTTTTATTTCGCACATACTAGGCCCTTGCTCTTGCTAATTCGCGAACGCTATGCCCTTGTTCTTGATTTTTTGCGCACGCTAGGCCCTTGCTCTTCCTTTTTTGCACTCGCTAGGCCCTTGTTCTTGCAATTTTGCACACGCTAGGCCCTTGCTCTTACTATTTTGCACTCGCTAGGCCCTTGTTCTTGCTATTTTGCACACGCTAGGCCCTTGTTTTTTCAATTTTGCACACGCTAGGCCCTTGCTCTTTTTATTTTGCACACGCTAGGCTCTTGTTCTTTTTATTTTGCACACGCTAGGCCCTTGTTCTTGCTATTTTGCACACGCTATGCCCTTGTTCTTTTTGTTTTGCACACGCTAGGCCCTTGTTCTTGCAATTTTGCACATGCTAGACCCTTGTTCTTTTTATTTTGCACACGCTAGGCCCTTGTTCTTGCTATTTCGCGAACGCTAGGCCCTTGTTCTTGATTTTTTACACACGCTAGGCCCTTTCTCTTGCTATTTTGCACTCGCTAGGCCCTTGTTCTTGCAATTTTGCACACGCTAGGCCCTTGTTCTTGCAATTTTGCATACGCTAGGCCCTTCTTCTTTTTATTTTGCACACGATAGGCCCGTGTTCTTTTTATTTTGCACAAGCTAGGCCCTTGTTCTTGCTATCTTGCACACGCTATGCCATTGTTCTTTTTATTTTGCACACGCTAGGCCCTTGTTCTTGCAATTTTGCACATGCTAGACCCTTGTTCTTTTTATTTTGCACACGCTAGGCCCTTGCTCTTGCTATTTCGCGAACGCTAGGCCCTTGTTCTTGATTTTTTGCACACGCTAGGCCCTTGCTCTTGCAATTTTGCACTCGCTAGGCCCTTGTTCTTGCAATTTTGCACACGCTACGCCCTTGTTCTTGCAATTTTGCACACGCTAGGCCCTTGTTCTTTTTATTTTGCACACGCTAGGCCCTTGTTCTTTTTATTTTGCACACGCTATGCCCTTGTTCTTTTTATTTTGCACACCCTAGGCCCTTGTTCTTGCAATTTTGCACATGCTAGACCCTTGTTCTTTTTATTTTGCACACGCTAGGCCATTTTTCTTGCTATTTCGCGAACACAAGGCCCTTGTTCTTGTTTTTTTACACACGCTAGGCCCTTGCTCTTGTAATTTTGCATACGCTAGGCCCTTGTTCTTGCAATTTTGCACACGCTAGGCCCTTGTTCTTATATTTTGCACATGCTAGGCCCTTGTTCTTGCTATTTTGCACACGCTATGCCCTTGTTCTTTTTATTTTGCACACGCTAGGCCCTTGTTCTTGATTTTTTGCACACGCTAGGCCCTTGTTCTTTTTATTTTGCACACGCTAGGCCCTTGTTCTTGCTATTTCGCGAACGCTAGGCCCTTGTTCTTGACTTTTTGCACATGCTAGGCCCTTGCTCTTGCTATTTTGCACTCGCTAGGCCCTTGTTCTTGCAATTTTGCACACGCTAGGCCCTTGTTCTTGCAATTTTGCACACGCTAGGCCCTTGTTCTTGCTATTTTGCACACGCTAGGCCCCTGTTCTTTTTATTTTGCACACGCTAGGCCCTTGTTCTTGAAATTTTGCACATGCTAGACCCTTGTTCTTTTTATTTTGCACACGCTAGGCCCTTGTTCTTGCTATTTCGCGAACGCTAGGCCCTTGTTATTGATTTTTTGCACACGCTAGGCCCTTGCTCTTGCTATTTTGCACTCGCTAAGCCCTTGTTCTTGCAATTTTGCACATGCAAGGCCCTTGTTCTTGCAATTTTGCAAACTCTAGGCCCTTGTTCTTTTTATTTTGCAGACGCTAGGCCCTTGTTCTTTTTATTTTGCACACGCTAGGCCCTTGTTCTTGCAATTTTGCACATGCTAGACCCTTGTTCTTTTGATTTGCACACGCTAGGCCATTTTTCTTGCTATTTCGCGAACACAAGGCCCTTGTTCTTGTTTTTTTACACACGCTAGGCCCTTGCTCTTGCTATTTTGCACCCGCTAGGCCCTTGTTCTTGCAATTTTGCACATGCTAGACCCTTGTTCTTTTTATTTTGCACACGCTAGGCCCTTGTTCTTGCTATTTCGCGAACGCTAGGCCCTTGTTCTTGATTTTTTACACACGCTAGGCCCTTTCTCTTGCTATTTTGCACTCGCTAGGCCCTTGTTCTTGCAATTTTGCACACGCTAGGCCCTTGTTCTTGCAATTTTGCATACGCTAGGCCCTTCTTCTTTTTATTTTGCACACGATAGGCCCTTGTTCTTTTTATTTTGCACAAGCTAGGCCCTTGTTCTTGCTATCTTGCACACGCTATGCCCTTGTTCTTTCTATTTTGCACACGCTAGGCCCTTGTTCTTGCAATTTTGCACATGCTAGACCCTTATTCTTTTTATTTTGCACACGCTAGGCCCTTGCTCTTGCTATTTCGCGAACGCTAGGCCCTTGTTCTTGATTTTTTGCACACGCTAGGCCCTTGCTCTTGCAATTTTGCACTCGCTAGGCCCTTGTTCTTGCAATTTTGCACACGCTACGCCCTTGTTCTTGCAATTTTGCACACGCTAGGCCCTTGTTCTTTTTATTTTGCACACGCTAGGCCCTTGTTCTTTTTATTTTGCACACGCTATGCCCTTGTTCTTCTTATTTTGCACACGCTAGGCCCTTGTTCTTGCAATTTTGCACATGCTAGACCCTTGTTCTTTTTATTTTGCACACGCTAGGCCATTTTTCTTGCTATTTCGCGAACACAAGGCCCTTGTTCTTGTTTTTTTACACGCGCTAGGCCCTTGCTCTTGTAATTTTGCATACGCTAGGCCCTTGTTCTTGCAATTTTGCACACGCTAGGCCCTTGTTCTCATATTTTCAACTGCTAGGCCCTTGTTCTTGCTATTTTGCACACGCTATGCCCTTGTTCTTGGAAATTTGCACATGCAAGGCCTTTGGTCTTGCAATTTTGCAAACTCTAGGCCCTTGTTCTTTTTATTTTGCAGACGCTAGGCCCTTGTT